GTGTGTGTCGTGTGTGTGTGTAGTGTGTGTGTGTGTGCGTGTGTGTGTGTGTGTAATGTATGTGTGTGTGTGTGTGTGTTTTTATTTGCTTTTATTTATTTCAGAGGTAAAATTGTAGTGGCAGCCCTCGGCCACCATACTGGTACCCTCTCGCAACGTACAGACTCTATAGACAGATTATATTAGCGATACGTGCATGGATGGTAGCTACGTACCAGCCTTAGTTCTAGTACTATAGCCCTGGTTGCCTCTGTGGGTATATATACCCTGTGGTTGTACTATGGCCCTAGAGTTATACCTGTCTAGGATGTGAATTCGTTCGTCGGTGCAGGCCGCGCGACACATATGCGTAAACAACGATCATGCACCGCACACGTCACTCACACATCACCGCACACGTCGCCCACACGTATTAAACGCGTTCGTTTATTACGCGCGCGTGTTATTAAACACGTATTAAACGCGTTAAGAACGAGGCTTAGCATGCATGCAGCGACCGGATTGACCTTGACGGTTAGCGTCGACTAACGCTCCTGTCCGGTCTCTCGGGTATCTCTATCTTCCATCATTGCTGCCTCTCTCTTGTTTTTGTTTTTTCTATTTTCGTCTCCCTCTTTCTTCCTTCGCTCTCTCGCTCTCTATTATCTATCTATCTATCTATCTATCTATCTATCTATCTATCTATCTATCTATCTATCTATCTATCTATCTACCTATCTATCTATCTATTTATCTATCTATCTCTTTTGCACGGTCTCTCTCTTTATCGCGCGCTTTCTCTTTCTCTATCTCTCTCTCTCTCTCTTGTCTCACTCTCTCTCTCTCTCTCNCGTATGTGTGTTCGTGTGTGTTCGTGTGCGTGTCGTGTGTGTTCGTGTGCGTGTTCGTGTGTGTGTTCGTGCGCGTGCGCGTGCGTGCGTGTGCGCGTCCGTGTGTGCGTGCGCGCTCGCGTGCATCTTCTGTTCGCATTCGAGAGTGTATGTATGTGTGTGTTCGTGCGTGTGCGCGCGCGCATGTGTGTGTGTGTATGTGTGTTCGTGCGCGCGTGCGTGCGTATGTGTGTTCGTGTGTGTTCGTGTGCGTGTTCGTGTGTGTGTTCGTGCGCGTGCGCGTGCGTGCGTGTGTGTGTGCGCGCACGCGTGTGTGGGTGCGTGTGTTCGTGTGCGCGCGCGTGTGTGTGTACGTGAGCGTATGTGTGTGTGTGCGTATGTGTGTTCGTGTGCGTGTGTGTGTTCGTGTGTGTGTTCGTGCGCGTGCGCGTGCGTGTGTGCGCGCGTGCGTGCGTGTGCGCGTCCGTGTGTGCGTGCGCGCTCGCGTGCATCTTCTGTTCGCATTCGAGAGTGTATGTATGTGTGTGTTCGTGCGTGTGCGCGCGCGCATGCGTGTGTGTGTGTGTGTATGTGTGCTCGTGCGTGTGCGTGCGTGTGTTCGTGCGTGTGCGTGTGTGTGTGTATGTGTGTTCGTGCGCGCGTGCGTGCGTATGTCTGTTCGTGTGTGTTCGTGTGCGTGTGTGTGTTCGTGCGTGTGTTCGTGTGTGTGTGTTCGTGCGCGTGCGCGTGCGTGTGTGCGTGCGTGCTTGTGTGTATGCGTCCGTGTGTGCGTGCGCGCTCGCGGGCATCTTCTGTTCGCATTCGAGAGAAGATACGATGTGATGCTTGAAGGGTAACGAGTTCCCTCTTGTCTCCTTACAGATGCAGCGAAGAAGCATTGGGGATATCACGGTACGTTATCAAGTCTCCGATCTCGTCTATCGTTTTGCTCTAACCCAGATTACACCAAGAGCTAATAATAGATAAGCTGATATAGCTAACGTAGCTAATATAGCTAATATACATAATTAAGCTAACATAGATAATATAGTTAATATAACTAATATAGCTAACATAGCTCATATATAGCTCATATAGCTAATATTCCTAATATAGCTCATATAGCTAATATACCTAATATAGCTAAGCTAATATACCCAATATAGCTAATATACCTAATTAGCTATTATAGCTAATATAGCTAATATACATAATAAGCTATTATAGCTAATATAGCTAATATACCTAATATACAAGAGCTAAGGGATATGATTAGATCTTGATTACAGGTTTTACATGAAACACGCACACGCGCTCACAACCAAACCTGATTATCGACGCGTTATCGAAAAACCGGTCCAGGTAACCAGCGTCCGCCGAAAATTGTATCGCAGTTACGAACGTTTCGATTTAAGATGCGTAACGTTTATTGTATTGATCGAAGATACCAGCCGAAAATATCGGCAACGACAAACAACAAATACCTGTTTCTAAACGGGAATATGATGACAGATTACGGTAACACTGATGATAATAATATATAGCACTGTCTACTAACAAACCATCGTTTAGTCTCTTAGAAGCACTCCCCCGGAATCAAATACATGAATATAGATGTGTTGAAATATCACCACACGTATAAATAATTACATATATGTATATATACATATATATTTTTGTCCTGATACCAGGAGGGTGTATGGAACAGTATAAGAGAGTTGAAACAGGTGTAACTGGTAAACGGTAAACAGGTAAGATCCTAGCTAATGTCATAGTGATTGTGCCCGTGACACACGCACCCTAGACCTAAGCCATGCATAATTCTACCATAATTATTATTGCGACATTTTTTTTACGACATTTATATTGCGCATTTGCAACACATATGTGTTACTTTGTGCCGTATTTATGCTGTTTCTTTCCCTTGATTCATCGCGCTTACAATCTTTCATTATGTGAGGCCCAGTTTAAGGTGAATGCTGAACGCAATAATATGACACGTGGGATCTTTGTAAATGTTTTTCCCGCATTAGTATTATTACTTGGTTGTTTAAACTATAGACCCAGTGTATATATAGGCCTACGCTTGTTTCACGCGCGCACCTCAAATCGCTCAACTTTGCGGCACTTCGGTTCACAGGCACTTGGAACGTCTCAATAAAAAAAATAATGATAAATAAACACGAAATGTACCAAAGTCTTAATGTTTCTCTACTGTATTTCGTCAATGATCACCTGTAAATGCCGGTCAAATGCTCATCTGCAACACACAAGAACACCGAACGCCCGCCGCGCTGTGCTGCGTGCACAAACAACATGAATAAGAGAGTTATTATCTTATTCATATCTTTATTAACTCGTATTTCGTATTTTCGTATCTTTATTACTCTCTTATTCATGTTGTTTGTGCACGCAGCACAGCGCGGGCGGGCGTTCGGTGTTCTTGTGTGTTGCAGATGAGCATTTGACCGGCATTTACAGGTGATCATAGACGAAATACAGTAGAGAAACATTAAGACTTTGGTACATTTCGTGTTTATTTACCATTATTTTTTTTATTGAGACGTTCCAAGTGCCTGTGCTTCGGTTCTAAAGATTGTCTCCCTGCGTATGTGTATGTGTGTTCGTGCGCACGCGTGTGTGGGTGCGTGTGTTCGTGCGCGCGCGCGCGCGTGTGTGTGTACGTGAGCGTATGTGTGTGTGTGTGTGCGTGTGTTTGTGCGCGCGCGCGTGTGTGTGTGTATGTATGTGTGTGTTCGTGCGTGTGTGCGTGCGTGCTTGCGTGTGTGCGCGCACGCGTGTGTGGGTGTGTGTTCGTGCGCACGCGCGCGTGTGTGTGTGTGTACGTGAGCGTATGTGTGTGTGTGCGTGTGCGTGTGTTCGTGCGCGCGCGCGTGTGTGTGTATGTATGTGTGTGTTCGTGCGTGTGCGCGTGTGTGTGTACGTGTGTTCGTGCGTGTGCGTGTGTGTGTATGTGTGTTCGTGCGCGCGTGCGTGCGTATGTGTGTTCGTGTGTGTTCGTGTGTGTGTGTGTGTTCGTGCGTGTGTTCGTGCGCGTTCGCGTGCGTGTGTGCGTGCGTGCGTGTGTGTGTGCGCGCACGCGTGTGTGGGTGCGTGTGTTCGTGCGTGTGTACGTGTGTGCGTGCGTGTGTACGTGTGTGC